ACGCCAGTTTTACAAAATCAAAAAATCATTTTCATTAGATGAACAAAAATGTTACGCCGGCTTAACAATTTCTCAAATCAAATAAATATTTCAAAGAAAATTTCAAACTGTGAGAAAAATTGTTACGCCGGCTTCACAAAATGGAAAATAATTTTATTTGTAAGATAAATAATTTCCAGTAGATGAAGAAAAATGTTACGCCGGCATAACAAATTCTCAAATCCAAGTGGAATTACAGCACAAAATTTCAAACTGTAAGTTAATTTGTTATGCTGGCTTAACAAAATCAAAAAATCATTTTCATTAAATGATCGAAGAATAATGTTACGCCAGCTTATCAAATTTCTGAAATCTAAGGAGAATTACAGCACAAAATTTTAAACTGTAAGTTAAATTGTTATGCCGGCTTAACAAAATAAAAAAATCATTTTCATTACATGAAGAAAAATGTTACGCCGGCTTAACAATTTGTCATTTACAGGTATGTGACCAAGAAGAAATTGAAACATTCAGTTCAATTGTTACGCCAGCTTAACAAAATTAAAATTAATTTTCATTACGTGAAGAAAAATGTTATGCCGGCTTAACAATTTCTCATATCCAACTATTTGACTTAGGAAATTTTAAATTATCACATCAATTGTTATGCCGGCTTAACAAATTTGAAATTCACTTACATTATGTGAAGAGAAATGTTACGCCGGCTTAACAATTTCTCATATCCAAGTATTTGACAAAAAAAGTTTCAAACTATCAGTTTAATTGTTATGCCGGCTTAACAAATTTGAAATTCACTTACATTACGTGAACAGAAATGTTACGCCGGCTTAACAATTTCTCATATCCAAGTATTTGACAAAGAAAATTTCAAACTATCTGTCAATTGTTATGCCGGCTTAACAAATTTGAAATTCACTTACATTATGTGAAGAGAAATGTTACGCCAGCTTAACAATTTCTCATATCCAAGTATTTGACAAAGAAAATTTCAAACTATCAAATAAATTGTTATACCAGCTTTACAAACTTGAAATTCATATTCATTAGATGAAGAAAAATGTTACGCCGGCTAAACAGTTTCTCAATTTAAGTAGAAATATAGCAGATTTCAAATTAACAAATAAATTGTTCTGCAAGCTTAACAAAATTAAAATTCATTTTTGATAAGAACAAGAAAATTGTTATGCTGGCTTAACAAATTTGAAATTCACTTACATTCCATGAAGAAAAATGTTCTGCCAGCTTAACAATTTCTCAAATCTAAGCAGAATTCAATACAAAATTTCAAACTATTACCTAAATTGTTATGCAAGCTTACCAAATGTGTAATTTATTTTCATACGATGAAGAAAATGTTATGCCGGCTAAACAATTGCTGAATTTAAGTAGAAATATAGCAAAAACTTTCAAATTAACAGATAAAACTGTTATGCTGGCTCAATTACAAAAATTGAAATTCAATTTCATTAAATCAATTAAAATGTTACGCCTGCTTAAAAATTCAAATCAATGCAGAATTCAACACAAAATTAACTATCAGTTAAATTGTTATGCAAGCTTAACAAACGTGAAATTTATTTTCATAAGATGAAGAAAAATGTTATGCCAGCTTAACAATTTCTCAATTTAAGTAGAAATAAGCAAAGACTTTCAGATTAACAGATAAATTCTTATATCCAAGTATATTTCAAATGAAAATTTCTAACTGATTATTTGTTATGCCAGCTCAACAAAGTAGAATTACAGCACACAATTTCAACTATCAGATACATTGTTATGCCAGCTAAACAGTTTAAATTCATTTTCAATCATTGAACGAAAATGTTGCACCAGCTTAACAGTTTCTCATATCCAAGAATATTTCTGAAATTCTGAAAATTTTAAACTCTAGATAAACAAGATATGTTTGTAAAACATGTATGCCCCCTATCGGCAGCCAATTAGTCATGTGATCAGGTTATTATGACTGACTGTTGACCTAGTGAACAAAAAATCAATAAGGGTTATCTACTGGTCATGACTAGTCACTAGGTTATAATCATTGTCACCGCATAGGTTGTGTGCAGCAATTTTATGACAAAGTTATTACAAATCTTATCAAATAATATATGCATAATTTTTATGAATCATGTAGGCCTCATTAATGACAGCCAAGTTGTTATATTACATAAGACCTTCAAATGTCTATACAAAATGCATCTTTAGTTTAATATAAAGATATCAACCAAGGCAACTTGAGTTGTTGAGTTATTGGTCAGAAACCATCTTTAAGTACAATATCACTATGACACTGACCCCCTGACCCCAAAATCAATAGGGGTCATTCACTGGCCAAGAACAATGCACCTACAAAGTTTGAGGGCCAGCAGATATGGGCTTGTCAAGTTATTGATAGAAAATCGTTTTCACATACTCTAGGTTAATCTTGACCTTGACCTTTATCCCCTTGACCCCAAAATCAATAGGGGTCATCTACTGGTCATGACCAATTATCATACCAAGTTTGAAGTTCCTAGGCCTAAGTGTTCTTTAGTTATTGATCGGTTACCGTTTTTACATACAAGGTCAATGTGACCTTTGACCCCTTGACCCCAAAATACATAGGGGTCATCTAATGATCATGACTAATCAATCATTAAAAAAAAGTTTGAAGTTCCTAGGCCTAAGGGTTCTTTAGTAATCACTCGAAAACCAATTGGTACAGACAAATGCAAAGCAATATACCCCCTCTTCTTTGAAGTGGGGGCATAATTATAAAGCCTGCTTTACAAAATTGAAATTCATTTCTTATTAGATGATGAACAATGGACCACCGGTTAAACTTTTTCTCAAATCGAAGTAGAAAACAAAACAAAATTTCAAACTATCAGATAAATTGAAATTTATCTAATTTAATGAAGAAAAATGTTACTTCTCATATCCAAGAAATATTTCAAATGAAACAAGAGGGCCATGATGGCCCTGAGGTCGCTCACCTGTATATAGGCCTCCCACCCCCCACAACGTTGCAGGGCCAATTTTAACCAAAGGGCTTTTATTTGCACACACTTGGTAGACACCCATAAGAAGATGTTTCATGCTAAACATCTAATCTCTAGCTCATTGGGCTTTTTAAAAGACAAATTTTAAAGTTTTTACTATACACATATAGTTATAAACAATGACACCCCTTGGGCGGGGCCAATTTTGACCCAGGGCTTTTATTTGAACAAACTTGGTAGACTACCATTAGAACATGTTTCATGCTAAATATCTTAGCTCTAGCTCTTTGGGTACTTTAAAAGAAGACATTTTAAGTTTTTACTATATGCATATAGGGAAAATCAATGACCCCCGGGGCGGGGCCAATTTTGACCCCAGGGCTTTTATTTGCACAAACTTGGAAGACACCCATTAGAACATGTTTCATGCTAAACATCTAAGCTCTAGCTCATTGGGCTTTTTAAAAGAAGATTTCAAGTTTTTACTATACAAATATAGTTAAAAACAATGACCCCCTGGGGCGGGCCAATTTTGACCACAGGGCTTTTATTTGAACAAACTTGGTAGATACTTATTAGAACATGTTTCATGCTAAATATCTTTGCTCTAACTCTTTGGGTACTTTAAAAGAAGACTTTTTAAGTTTTTACTATATGCATATAGGGAAAACCAATGACCCCCCGGGGCGGTGCCAATTTTGACCCCAGGGCTTTTATTTGAACAAACTTGGTAGAAACCTATTAGAACATGTTTGATGCTCAATATCTTAGCAATAGCTCTTTGAGTTCCTCAAAAGAAGATTTTTTAAGTTTTTACTATATGCATATAGGGAAAATCAATGACCCCCGGGACGGGGCCAATTTTGACCACAGGGCTTTTATTTGCACAAACTTGGTAGACACCTATTAGAACATGTTTCATGCTAAATATCTTAGCTCTAGCTCTTTTGGTTCTTTAAAAGAAGACTTTTTTAGTTTTTACTATATGTATATAGGGAAAATTTATGACCCCCTGGGGCGGGGCCAATTTTGACCCCAGGGCTTTTATTTGAACAAACTTGGTAGACACTCACTAGAAGATTTTTCATGCCAAATATCTAAGCTCTAGCTCTTATGGTTTTTTAAAAGAAGATATTTAAAGTTTTTTCTTTCGGTTGCCATGGCAACCAGAGTTCTGCATGGAATTAAATTCTTTGAACAATTTTTAAAGGTGACCACCAAAGGAACATTCCTGTGAAGTTTGGATGAAATTGGCTTAGTGGTTTATGAGATGTCATTTAAAGTAAAAGTTTACGGACGGACGACGGACGGACGGACGGACGCCGGACGGAAAGCGATCACAAAAGCTCACCCTGTCACTTTGTGACAGGTGAGCTAAAAATCAAACTGACAGATAAAATGTTAAAGAAGAAAGATGTTATGCTGGCTTAACAATTTCTCACACTTTAAGCTTAGAGTTCAACAATAACCCAACAGTCAAATTGTTATGCCGGTTCAACGTTAATAGATGCCACATTTGGCGCGTAAAAGAATCGTTATAATATTACAATAAGATAAAGTTATATATAAGATAAAATGTATATAATAATAAATATTAATAAATTTTCAAAACTTAGTATAATTGTTATGCCCACTCAACATCATGTGACCAAGAAATCAAAATAGTTTGTCTGACCTCAACAATTTTAATACCTAAGTAATGACATTAATCTAAAAACAATCAGCTTTCTTAATTGTTATGCCGGCTCATTGTTACAGCAAAATAAACCAAATTTCATTCAATGAAAAAATGTAATGTTGGCTAAAAAATTATCAGAGCCTAAGAAATGTACAAATGAACATTGCAAACAATCAGATCAATAGTTATGTTGGCTTATCATTAACAGAAAACTAACTAGTATAATATACTACTTTATTTCAAAAACAAAGATAATTCATTAAACAGAATCAAATGATTCTTCTGCTTAACACTTTTTTCTAAGTGGAGTTGAAAATTTTGATATGAAGTACGTCTGCTCAACAACTTAAGTTTTATGACAGTTTAACAGTGAATTTTAGTGTATGTACTTATACTGTGTCTAAAAGGGTGAAAATTCAAAAACTATATACTAGATTTTAGCATCTATGAACCTATTAAAAAATATACATAAATAAATAATTTGCAGTTGAACAATTGCTTCAGGTTATGGATGCTTCACAAACATGCACACTTAAATTGTTGTTGATCAAAAAGGAATGTATGAGCACCCTATATATCATCTTCCAATATTAAAGATAATGGTCAATCAATAAACTATTTCTTCCAGAAGGGAATGTTGGTCACTCCGTCTTCAATTTCATACTGGACCCTGGCACCTGCATTACAAATAAATAGCAGAGGTAAATTAACAAAGAATATGTTTATTGGCAAACTTCTTAAAAAATGAGGTTTCTTCAGCTGCTTGACTAGAGGGAATAATTGAATTGTTAAAATAGGCAGTATTTCAAGAAATGATAAAACAAACAGAATTTATTCTATCACATAATCCATAATGCAGCAGTGTACAAAACTATTTAATGAAGTGATATCATACAACATCAAGTGTGACAAGTTAAAGTTTGAACATGACATCATTTGTGTTACATACATAGCATTAAAGCATGTTCATATTAATATGACTCTTTTTAAATGTTAACTGTTATTTTGGACAGTCATGTGATATATAATATTCATGTAGATTTAATATTGAATTAGTTTGGTCTCCTTTTATTAAGAAAAATTATGCTGGCTAAAGCAAGTCCTTCAAAAATCCCCCCACAAAAAAAACAACAAACAAACTGCATCTGGCACAGTAAACATCATCAGTTATTGCAGCAGGCATTTCTAAGCTTGTGCAGAAGATCTTGAGTTATGTAAATGTCCAAAATGAACAATTACTTGCAAATAAATGCCAGAGTAAATTAATGTTTGCTTGCACAATGTGGCAGTCTTAGATTTTAACTGGCATTTCACCAGTATGCAAGCTTAAGTTCGAACCCTGGCCTGAGATCCCTTGCCCCAGTACCCTATAGGGGAAATAAGGCCCTGTTAACAACAAGCAATTCATAATCGTTGTAAAATTAATTTTTGTTACCAAACTTACTTCACCTATCCTAGAAATGTGGTTCTTAACACACAAAAAAGCTCAACTTTGCTCCTTTTTTGCATATATAACTGAACCTTCATCATCGAAAATATTGTGACTCAAGGACATCTCTTCCATGCATGCCAGAACTATCTAAAAATAAAATATAACTTGTTACAGCAACAAAAAAACTTAAACTGAAGGATGTATTGTACTTTACAAGCTAAATATTTTATCAATCTTTAGGACATGAAGTATAAAGAAATGGTTTACAATTCAAATTTAAAATAAATCACTGGGAGATCTATGCATTCACTCTATAGCTATCATTGAATACTTTTTTGATTGAGATTATTATAAAAAGTAACAAAATAATTATTCTAATGATTTTTTTAAGAACTACATGATATTTTCCGACTAATAAACTGTTTAAATTGATTAATTCATACTAGCAACAGTTGTGCCAGTACATTTTCTGTGTAACGGTTTGTCAGAAAGAAAAATCAGTCAGTTAAATGGGTCAATTTATAATCATTCACGCTTACTCAGTACCATGATATTATTCAAATCAAAGCAGACAGTTAAATGGGTCAAATCATTCACGCTTACTCAGTACCATGATATGATTCAAATCAATCAATAGCAATGGCCAGCCGTATGGGCCCATATTACTAGCAAAAAGTTCTAGCCATAAGTCAGTCACGTATGACTAGCCTAAATGCACTGTTGAATCTTAAGTCTTACAGCATTTTTAAAATAAATAAACAATTATTATAATGAATATTTGCAAGCTTGTTTTTCTAAACAAAAATATTATTGAATATCATAACTTTATTAGGTAAATAAATTTTTGGCGTTTGATGAGCCAAAGTTGTTTTTGTTTTTTACCCTGAAAATCACAAATTTTAATGATTAAAGTCTGTGCGAAAATACGAAGAGAAATAAACGGAAACATTATTATTAAATCATTTCTATAGATAATATGTCTTTATGGTGTTGCAGCGCAGCTGTTTGTTTTTTTTTACAGTAAATCAGAAAAGGCGGACATCTGAAATCAAATTCCAACAACTGAGAATGGAATTTACCTACACATTTTATAGAAATTTCAATTCAATTTAACATTCATGGTACATAGCATGGCCTAGTTACCCAAAGACACCCCAAGAGTACCCCCAATACACCCCTGGACTACCCCAAGACACTTTAACTGACATGTTAATACTGTCCTTATTTTACAGGTTACTGTGCGATTGCATATGTACACATTGAATTATCTCCCTTCTGACAGGGATTTCATTAAGTTTCAAAATTTGGAAGTTAAGAGACTGCAAAATCTCTGATATTGGAAGTTACATTATATTGGTAAAGTAGAAAAAGTAATAGGTTTTGGAAGTCACAATCCAAAATCAAGAAGTAAATGACTCCCAAAACTTCCCTTAACGGAAACCCTGTTCTGAGAAAAGGAATATAACATGTACGTGCCAACAAAAAATTTACCTAATGGCACTGATTATAAACTAGAACTCGGAGGTCGGATGTGTTGCCTTGTGAACAATATAGCTGTCACTTAGGCATTTTCTTCTGAAAAAACTGCTCCTACATTATGTACATGTACCTTTAATTTTGGTGACATTTGAACTGATTGTAACAATGTTACATCAGGGTTAATAAAACTCACAGTATATAAACGATTTGAACCCCAACCGGATCTTGTGAGAAGATCTCAGCATCTAAACGTACAATCAGGCGGGATGACACATTAAACTATTAAAAATCGGCTTGAATTTAATATGTTACGGTATGTTAACATTTGAATCATATTAAGAAATAATTTATCTTTGCTTAAATATACTTCCATAACCTTCTTCGTAAAATATATGCGCATAAAACGCTGTGCTCTTCGCCTCACATTTTGTTTATGTCAACACACGCCGATTACACAAGCAAATGTATGCCTAAAATTGTTTTATTTCACTATAACTCATATCTGAATCTTAACTTTATTGTCTTAACCTCATGTTACCGGACAGACACTTGTGAAAATATCTTTGAATATTGATAAAACATAGTAAATAATAGAGGCGACATTTCTGATAACTGTACCCGTCTTGCTAAAACAATTTTAATGATCTGTACCCTACTTGTGTTTTCACTGAACCATTACTTGCGAGTCACTTTTGATGATTTTTATTGTGTTTTTGTCGTATGTTCCAAATTTTAATGTGCAGAATATGAAGTTATTGTGTCAAAAGAGAAGGGTACATATTTTAGTTCTATGTAAGTAACTAAAACTGCATATGAATGGAGGAGCTTCGTCATGTTTTCACTGTCTACGAAAATACCGGTATGAAGTGGCTGTTTATACGAATCAGAAAGTCAATTATTTCTTGATAGGAATAATTAACTAACAAACCTCACCTTCACTTACCATTCATTTTTCATTGGAAAGATATAAAGCTAAAATATTACATATGTACTATAAATTGTTTACATTTAGTTCAACACATTGTTGTTAGTTTTGACGTGACCGTTATATTATTAGTTATAAAGATCGTTGACTGGTTATATGGCCCTATATAAACGGCTATTTGTAAATATAACCCGAGCCGTTAGGCGAGGGTTATATTGCAAACAGCCGTTTATATACGGCCATATAACCTGTCAACACTCTTTATAACGAATTTATAATACAGCAAGCATCATTTTGTGGAGAAAAAGTAAGATATCGACAGCAGCCGTGTATATATATCTATATAAACGTCACGGTTATCCAATGAAAAGCGACGTTACAAACGTGCAGTATTATAAAACGTCACGTATCAAAAAACCTCGAAATATCATTACAAGATTTTTTTGCAGATAACTTATTTCAACATGTTGAAAGCTTTACACCTACCGTTGATTTCATTCTGCTTTTTTAAACACTGTTTTATATTCTCAGAAATTCATTGACTTTCTTTTTCTGACATGTACGACTTTTATTTTTGTATATCTTTCATAGACGTCGACAATTTTGGCATTTTTTTAAACGGAGAATATCTGGGAAATTTTGAAATTTTAATTGTCAGTGTTTCAGCTATTGGTGTTATAAACTTCTTTTTTTTCGTTTACGTTATTGGCTGTGACGTTGAAATTTTTTAAATAGGAAATTTTATTCTGATCATTATTTATTATTTTCAAGTTGCAGTCTGGATGGCGAATGATTATGTGATGATGTCATTGAAATTCGTAGTCTTTATTGAACAGTATATGCAGTTGTATTCTTCCATGGTGATCCGAAAGAAAAATATACATAGCATTATATATTTTATTAAACAAATGATTAACAATATTATCAGTTAAACCAATTCCCGGTAAATATCTTAGATCCCACCTTATATACTAAAATTCTATTACAATCATTTATATTTTCTGGCAATAATTGATACAAAATCACAATGAACGTAAACTTTTTATCCAATAAATCTTTAAAAATACTCACAAGTCAGGGTACAGATAAAATTCGTAAACTCACAAGTAGGGTTCACAATCACCAGCAAGTAACGTTCAGTTTACGGAAATGACCTCCTTGGTAAAACTCTTTCATGGAATGGCACGGAAGTGTCACATTGAAGGTTCCATGATTACCGCCGTATGAACACATCTGCGGATGTTTCTAAATTCAAAATTTTACTATTTCACGTTTAAATGTTGAATTCTGCTTAAGCCGGTGCTGGGGGGGCGTGGACGGTAACTTGCACTTTCCAGTACCGTCCATGAACAGGCTCAATCAAACCGAGCCTGCAACATTTTCAATTTTGCCGTGTTGGGCATTTTTTAGGGATTCTGTATTAATCTATTTTAGTGACTCGAAATTTCGACTTACTTACTCGAAATATCGTCATACCTACTCGAAATTTCTAGTTTATTATCTCGTAATTAGAATGAAAATAGAGAAATAACACAATCCCTAAAGAAAGTCCAACACAACAAAATTGAAAATGTTGCAGGCTCGGTTTGATTGAGCCTGTTCATGGACGGTACTGGAAAGTGCAAGTTACCGTCCACGCCCCCTAGCACCGGCTTGAGCAGAATTCAACATTTAACACGAAAATGGAAAAAAATTGAATTTTGAAACATCCGCAGATGTGTTCATACGTCGTATATCATGGAACTTACAATATGACACAGGAGTGCCATTCAATGAAAAGCGGCGTACGGTCCCCAAGTAAAAGAATGTTTTTGCCCTAAACGAGAAAACAATGGGCGGAACTAAATCAAATTGAATTTTGAAAGGGGATCTGAGGTTATGAAGCCTGCATATCACAGATAAGACGTCAAAAGACAAATTTAAAAAGCAGGCAACATATCCTAAGGGTGATTATACAGTATTCCAAGTAGGAATACTGGAACCACCCAAGTTGAAAATGGCCGAATAAGAAGAAACTAAAAGTACCACAAAACATGTATACACAACAATAATGTCGTTCTGAACGATCTTCAATGATCGAAAAAATAACATCATTGATAAAATGTACAAGATGACTTTTTATAGCCGCCGCACGACACAAAAATCACTGATGTGACAATAAAATAGAGAAAAACAGAATCCCTAAAGAAAGTCCAACACAACAAAATTGAAAATGTTGCAGGCTCGGTTTGATTTGAGCCTGTTCATGGACGGTACTGGAAAGTGCAAGTTTACCGTCCACGCCCCCTTAGCACCGGCTTAAGCAGAATTCAACATTTTAACACGAAAATGGTAAAATTTTTTGAATTTTAGAAACATCCGCAGATGTGTTCATACGTCGGTTATCATGGAACCTTCAATGTGACACAGGAGTGCCATTCAATGAAAAGCGGCGTATGGTCCCCAAGTAAAAGAATGTTTTTGCCCTAAACGAGAAAACAATGGGCGGAACTAAATCAAATTGAATTTTGAAAGGGGATCTGAGGTTATGAAGCCTGCATATCACAGATAAAGACGTCAAAAGACAAATTTAAAAAGCAGGCAACATATCCTAAGGGTGATTATACAGTATTCAAGTAGGAATACTGGAACCTACCAAGTTGAAAATGGCCAAATAGAAGAAACTAAAAATACCACAAAACATGTATACACAACAATGTCGTGCTGAACGATCTTCAAGGATCGAAAATATAACAAAGTGATCCCTCGGAAGCATTAATCACAACAAAATAACATAAGAATTGCAGACTCGGTTTGATTGAGTCTGTACATGAGTGATAATGAATAAGTGCAACATCACTCACGCCCCCTAGCACCGGCTTGAGCGGTACTCAATTCTCAACACTTAATAGTGTTGGCATCAATGATCCCGAAGGACCAGAAAATATAACAACACTGAAGTGAAGTACGGGGCAACTTTTTACGGCTGCCACACGGCACTTGACACCTGCTGTTGTGAAGTACAAAATTCTGGAAACAAGGTGATCCTTCGGAAGCATTAATCACAACAAAATAACATAAGAATTGCAGACTCGGTTTGATTGAGTCTGCACATGAGGGATAATGAGTAAGTGCAACATCCCTCACGCCCCCTAGCACCGGCTTGAGCGGTACTCAATTCTCAACACTTTATAGTGCTGGCATCAATGATCCTGAAGGACCAGAAAATATAACAACACTGAAGTGAACAACGGGGCAACTTTTTACGGCTGCCACACGGCACTTGACACCTGCTGTTGTGAAGTACAAAATTCTGGAAACAAAGTGATCCCTCGGAAGCATTAATCACAACAAAATAATATTAGAAATGCAGACTCGGTTCGATTGAGTCTGTACATGAGGGATAATGAATAAGTGCAACATCCCTCACGCCCCCTAGCACCGGCTTGAGCGGTACTCAATTCTCAACACTTTATAGTGCTGGCATCAATGATCCCGAAATACTGTATGATGCACGAATCCAAGGAGTTGTGAAAAGCAGCGGGATTTTTTCTAGATCCATTATATAATACCAGCTTATTAATAAAAATAGCCCTTCCATGAGGCTATCTGTCTCAAGTGGTATCTTGCACTGGTCTCAAACAATATACTGTTTGTCCAGTTCCGTGTTGTTGAAAATAAAAACAAGGCTTCATTTGGAGGAGAATTAATTTGTGATGACAGATTAACTTCTTCAATATCCTGCAAAATGAAGATATAATAAAACAATGAATGAGTACCATCCTACATAGCAGGATCGGGGCTCTAGCATTTTCAACCAGCACATAATAAAGTGTTAGTTAAAATGTCTGCTTCTTGAGCAGTAGGTCAGAAATTTGATCTTCTGCCATGCCATGCTGACTTTGCTGAGCAGGGCCAAAATTTGTCTATTTTATATGTTGACAATATGGGCAAAATATGAGATGTTTGACAAAGAGGCATATCTATATAGATACTAATCATATACTTAAATAAGTTTACAAGTCAATCCATTTAATAAGCTTGTCAGTTGAAAAGGGACATAACTCCAAAATATAGTTTTAAGAATAACCTGCCCTTGTCTGAACAGTGTGTCTTGTAATGTAAAGCAAATATAAAATGAATGTATCCAAGTCTTGTGCTGATACCTTTGATAGTTTTGAAAAAAAAAATCAGAATTTTGTCCC